TTGAACTTCGTCCTGAAATCTGGATATTAAATGAGTAGTGGGAATATAAAAATTCCGTCCGGGTCACGAACCACTGTCCACAGATAAAGGAGTGAAGTTTAATCACGCTTCGTCTGTGGATCGCCGAATATCCATAGCCAACATAGAGCATCAACCAAAATAGTTTGGTATATGATGTTTCACCTAATCTGTGAATCTCAGGCTTGTTTGTCTTACTCTATTGTAAAAAAACATACAAAAATACTTAAACTACATAGTAATACATTCATGTCTAGACAAGTTGCCTTCGACACGAAGCTGTTTACCGATCAACTTAGTTATCACCTCAAAATGGTAACATAGAAATAAAATCGACATTAAATTTGATATTTCTTACAATTTGAGTATACTTCATTATCAGATATTGTTTTTTTAACTACGTAATCGTTTTTCGAGGAAGCCAAATAAATAATGTTTCTTTCTAGTTGTTAACTTGATTATAGTCAATGGTTTTCCTTTTTTACAGAAGAAAGATTCGATGGAACGTAAGTAGACAAGGATTGTGGTTATAGAGATGTGAACTGACGTAAAGGTGGGCTCACGCGATGGAAAACGAGAATAAAGGTCTGGCAGACGTTTGGATGGGAATAATGATAGGCGGCTGGTAGACTCTAGGGCGCCGAGCTGTGTCGCCGCGCCTTCTCTGCTCACGCGCAGCATACATACCGACACACAAATGCCGCGACTCAATTAACATAACTGAGTAAATACTGTCTGTAGTTTACGCGAGGACACATTTAAATGGAACACTTTAACGGTTTAAAACGCGAAATGTATCAGATAAACTTGTTTAAAAATATTTATGGAGAGTGTCTCTACCACATACCGGCAAACGTGAAGACATCGTTGGTCAATTCTGGAAGGTTGGCCAGTTTCACCATATACCAACTACGACGGAACAGACGGCGCTAGCGTAGCAGTTTCTTCTTCGGAATTAGAGGCACCCTCCATCTTTAGACTCCTCATGATTGCTGCTGCAAAGCATCCGAAACTTCGGGCTGTAGTTATTTTTTTAAACAGTTAAGTGTGCGACTACAACGAGTAAGTAATTATTCTATTGATTCTTCGCAGCTTCAGTTCAGTGGAAAACATCATGTCAACGAACAGATATTTTTCTTAGTATTGTTTTGGTCCATTTCACTATTGTTGATATCGATTACGACTATCGTCTAGCCCTTTGACCCACGTTTGTATTCTACGAAAATTACGTCAATGTTTAACGTGTTTATTTTGTAGTGACATCTACAAAATTACCCAGATCTTGTAAGCCTTTTTTCACATTACGTGAAATAATAGCTTCTGAACGCATTATACGAGTATAGCATAGTACTTTCGCGATGGTGTAAACTGTTCAAAAAAACTCACTGTATAAAAATTTTCGTATCTTTTTCAATCTAAAATCGTTTTGTAATGTTCTACTTGTTGGTAACCGCATTCTAACGTTCAAGCATATCCTGGGTTCGATTCCCGGGGAAATAAAGATTAGATCACTAATGACCAAAAGCTAAATGTATGATCTACAGTGAATGAAACCTATCAGAGATACAACAATGTAGCTGTCCCAAACCCCATATTGAGGGAATGAGGTTTTCTACTTCACAACATAGTATAAAACAAAGTCACTTTTTCTGTCCCTATGTGCGCGTAAACGTTTAAAACTCCGCAACGGATTTTGATGCGAAATTTTCTACATAGATAGAGTGATTCATGAATCATGAGGAAGATTTTTATATACAACGTTGACAAGTTTCCTTTTAGTATCAACATTGCACCCGAGCGAAGCTGGAGCGGGTCGCTAGTATAGTATATTTTATGGACGGCATAAATTAATATTAGATAGAAATAAACAGACGTTAGGATATTCGATAAGCCGCCGAGTAGACCCGTGTCCTCGGCGTCGGTGTGTCTCACGCCCGTTTTACCGTACTCGCTCGCACCTGCGACCAACACTTGCGTCATTTACAAGTTACAACTTTAAAATAATAAAACTGGTTTCGATTTTGATCTATAAGAAGGTGGATCGACGATTATTGTCCGAAGCAAACACCTGGCAGACCCCGTGCTGGCTTGACACTCGATACCGTCGACTCGCCACCGCGGTCCTTAATCAAACGACCAGCACATATATTGCATAAACTCGAACTCATTATAAGATTTTGAGATATCAATTCAATAAAGTTCGTAGATGTTTTTAGCGATAGATAGACATCATTTCGTCAAACTCATTGGCAGCATATATGGCTTTACTTCAACAGGTCGTGGATTCAATATCCACTATCTAAAAATCAATTTATATATTTTCGCGTTTCAGGTTCAGTCCGTAGAGTTCCGCATGTCCGAAGCAAAATATCGACTGCACATTTGTACATTATGTTATATGAATGTTTATCTTCCTCTGTCTTAAAAAAAACCTACTTGTTAAGGATCGTCTGTAGTTTACGCAAGTAGTGCCAACTCGTTTGAATAAAACACTTATAACAGTTTTGCTCGTTCTGGTTCATAGCTGCAAAGCATACGAAATATCGGGCCGTAGTTAAATAAAAATAAGTTAACTCATATTCTTTATGTTTTAAACCGTTAAGCGTTTTTTAAATATCTGTTAGTCATCAAAAATTCGAATTTCGAATCGTTACTGTCCACCTCCACTTGTTTGCATAAATTAATGTAAGCCACAGCTTTTCAATTCCTCACGCATTCCTTTTAAACAAATGTAGCCTATTGACTCATTATTGCACCTTAGTTGGCGTTCCGTGCACGTATAAGAAGACATATGTTTTTTAAACAAAGACTGCAGTGCAACGACCTGCCCTTATTTGGTAGCGTCAGCATAAAAGCCACAATGCACGAGGATGCTGTCTCGCAGTACAACAGTACAGTACCATAATTATACTTTCTGCTAAAAGAAATTACTTTTGAATTTTATTTGTGCATTTAATATATATTTATTGTTACCCGTTGATATTTTCAACTGGGTTTCTTTATTGTAGCGAATGGAATTCGGAATTTCGGGGAACAATGTCAATTGTATTAGTAATTAAAAAATGTGTGTGTGCGTGTGTGATGTGAAAATATTTAAAGGAAAACAATAGAAGATGAAAATCATGCTATAAGAGTTTTCCATTATTAAACAATCTTCATACTTAGTGAAGTTTGCTTTGTATACTTCTCGGTTATAATAAATAATTACCTTAAGGACACTTTTCTTACAAACAAATATCCTCATTCAAGAATACGGGACTTTACATTTTACACATACAAAGTCACACGTGTACCTTCTTACGTGTTGTAGATTGAATTAAAATTAGTGTGTTAAATTTTCTAGTGACAACCTGTGGAAGGGTGAACCGCTTCGTTACATAACGCGTTACGGCGCCAGTTTGTCTGGCTGCCCTTTCTCTTGCGCATTCCTATGAATATTAAATATGTAGTTCAACTTTTTTTGTATAAGTTAGTTTCAATATGCCGTAATTCGCAAAATTAGAATCCCAAAAAAAACGGTTTTCGATCGGGCATGATAGTCTGATCACTTTTTGTCTTTGAAAAAAGAAATATGTTCGTCCAATGCTACTAGGTATTATGACGACTATTAGTTACAGTTAAATCTTTTATAAGTTTACCTCAAAGGAGTTAATTATGTGTTAATTAATATGAATTATCTAGTCACATTAAGTATTATAACAGTAATAATTAAATTCAAAATTAGTGGAGTTGAAAAGTTTTAAATCAATACAATAGAGACACAAACAGAGTGTCGTCTTTAGAATATTAAGTACCTTGCTATACACGACGATTAAAATAATTTATGAATTAATTTAATGTTTGACAATAATATTTTTCCTTCGAAATATACGTTAATTTTATTGCGTTGAAAACGAAACTGTTCGAAGAATAATTCTTATTTCGGCGCGACTATTATAAGACTTGACGCGATAGTTTACAGGTGGACCGGCAACCTGTTCGGACAGTATCAAATTACACTAGGTTTCACATTGGTCATTTATCCCGCGTCTCATATAACTACCGACGATATTAATAATTGTTTTACTGAATAAATTATTATAATAATTATTAATCGATTCTGAGAACGAGCAGCAAAACAAAGTGATTCATCTGGACGCAGAGATCGCAGATGTGCGGCCGGCTTGATTAAATTAAGTGACATTTCATTTTAATTCGTTGACATAAATCTCTGATATTACGAGGTAGCTTATCGTAGCAGGTGCCGCGCCCTGGTCAAGCCAAAGGTCTTCGCGCGACGCAACGTCTGCTTTGAATATGCGCGCGCGCATCTTGATACCAACTTTGTCGTACTCACTCGTATTTAGGATAGACATTGCTACGAGTTAAATATCGAATTTGAGTGTATATACACCCAAGTTAATTAATATTTTTTCTTTAAATTAATTAAACTATTCTTTACGTTCAGCTAAATTCAGACTATTAACTAGATATCAAAAGAATCTTATATAAAATAAAATAATTAATATTTTTATCCATATTACACATTTTAGGTAAAATAAATTTATGTATAGCTACCGCGAAAGCAAAAAATATAGTTTTCTGAATAACATTAAACTATTAACAATAGTAATAGTAAAGTTGGTTGGTTGGAAACAAGTTTTATGTTACATTGATAATCAATATCGCTATTGTTTTACACTGTGTCAAATTTAAATGGAACACTTTAACGGTTCAAAACGCGATATATATTAGTTAAAAAGCTGCAAGGCATCCGAAACGTCGGGCCGAAGTTAAAAATATTTATCAAAAAAGTTTAAATAATATATATCACGTTTTGAACCGTTAAAGTGTTTTATTGAAACCGTTTAAAGTGTTTAATTTAAATACTCGCGTAAACTACAGACAGTACTGTGCCAAATTGTCTATTTTTAAAGGCACTCAATTAATTTGTCATTTTAACTTAAATTACACAAGATTGGACTTGTATGCGAATTTAAAAAATGTTAAAGCATATATTGAAGAATCGTATTGAATTTAATTCAGCAATACCAACAGTGCATGCAAATACCTACGAGGGTATCTGGTATTGTAGCTCCAAGTCAATTAGCATAAGTATTTGCGTCTCTATAGTAAATCATGACAGTTATGCGCAAGTACTTTACTCATTGCAGATTAGGTACAGGTGTTAATCACAAAATTATTTAAATTGTCTTACTGGTTTTGCAATCTGCGCATATTTAAACGGGAACTGGACAAGAGTGTGTAGTTGTAATTGTTAAAAGTTCTTCATATAAATGTAAAAAAAAACTATTTAATTAAAACACTTCCAGGATCCAAAACGCAAATATTATTGGGAATTCTATTTAAAATATGTTGTAAATATGTTAACTCACCCATTTTGCGTTTTAAACCGTAAATAGTGTTTTCTTGATACAGACGATAGGTACTGAAAGAAAAGCTCAATTAAAATTTTCCACGTTACCGATTCTAATATTTATTTAAACACAAGTATACCTTAAATTATAAATTACTTATCATATTAAAAATACTAAAAGGCTTTCTTTCCAGTAATTCTCGTCTACAATTACCTATACGTTACAGATGTGGAACTCGGTGACTCGTTGTAGCTCTCGGGTTAAAATCTTAAGAATACACACTTTTTTTCTTCATTCCGTTTTAACGGGTAAGTATTGATCGGATTCTGTGCCCTGGCGGGCCCAAAAATTTTTTTTCCCCGGGTTCGAACCCCCCCCCCCCCCCCCCACATAGGCAATACGTTTAACCATTTGGCTACAGAGGCGGTCTGTAGAGTAAAAACTTATTAGACTTAAAATCAATATCTGATGGCATTGGGTACACTTGGACATTTAAAAAACGATACTGTTAACCACAGTTACAGTCTAAAACCATCGACTAACAAACAGCTTAAATGGAACAGATGTCGATGATCAATTGACAAGCTTGACTGGACCTCAGGCTTTTCAACAATGCCGTAGAGAGCATATCAAGTGTGAAGCGGAGCTATCATGTTATGGAGCATTCCATGGCAGTAGAACCGCACGCGAGCAGCAGAAATGTGGCCGAATGTAACCCAACACCGCCAGAACGCCGCAAGGTCGGCTACTGCACTGAGCATGCGTGACCTAGCATCTTGTCTACTGAAACTTATCTTTCGTCTCTTAAGTCTAACTATCTATACAACTGAAGAGATTGTTTGAACGCGCTAATCTTAAGAACTACTAGATCGAAGTGAAAAATATCTCGTTGTTTGGACCATTTATCTTGATAAATTCCAAAGGCCTAAGGCTTCCTTGGAAGGCTATAGGCTATGTACAAGAGGCGAAGAAACAGGGATATATAGTATAAATATAAAAGTGCTCCCGTTGCGTGAAAACGGTTTAAGATACCCAAAAAAAATATGTAGACTAAAATTATTCATCTTTATATAATTTAAATAAAACACTTTAACGGTTTAACGGTTAGTTAAAATTATTTTGAAATGATTGTCTCCCCGTGACCACGGCTGCTGCAAAGCATCTGAAACGTCGGGCCGAAGTTAAAAATCATTTCCAAATAATTTTAACTAATATATCGCGTTTTAAACCGTTAAAGTCTTTTATTTAAATATAAAATTGATTAGAAAAATGTTAGACCCGGTGGTGGTTGCACCCACTACTTGGGTAATTATTAGCCATACATTGTTATCATTACACCAACGAGACCGTCAAATACATAGGTAATAGCGCAAACTACAGATAACCTAAAACAATCCGGAACGAAATTTTAATTAAATTAACTGGAGTACAACAATATCTGCTAAAGAGCGAATGACACCAATACATATCTGACGTAAATATTAAAATATAGCTGTCTATAAATAACCGAGATAAACGCCGAGGTCCACACGAGTAGCCGCGTTCACATGTCTTGTTTAATTGTCCCAACTAATTGAAACAGGAGTGATAACCCTAAGACATTCGCTATTTATGATAACAATATTTTATAGAGAAACCACGATTCCCGTTGGTGAGGCATGGGATATGGGGCTTGAGACATGGGGCATGGGATATGGGGCTTGAGACATGGAGCATGAGCATGGGGCATGATACATATTTCTTTATCTGTTATAGCTACTGATGTTATTTACGGAGAGCCTTTGTATTGTCTGTAGCTCAGTTAGGTCATTGAAGTATTGAAAGTAGAAGGTATCGAAAACGTCCTAAGTATTACATGAAATTTATTGTTTACTAAACCTAAGCACAAGAAACCAAAGTATGAATTCATAACAATTGCAATCTTGAGATTTTAAGAAGCTTTCCCGAGAGCGTTATGACAAGAAATTCCAAAAAAATATCGGTGTGCATATAACAACAGCATTTACCTATTATCTTTTGAAAATAAAATATATTTCTCGTTTAAAACCGTTAAGTGTTTTATTGAAATATGTTAACCATTGAGCCAAGGTAGCGGTCACACACCTCATTAATATTCTTGCGAATCGCAAATACTTTTATCCCTTACTTAACCTTAACGTCTGTTAATGCGTCAATTCGTCTTGTCTGCGTAGAGCAAAACACACATTCCTCAATTACTAGTAGATAAATATTTAAAACGTGTTTTTTTGAAGTCATAACTCCTTATAAGGGCAAATCCGTTACGTCACGCGTTACAGCGATCGCGAGTATAGCAACTTTAGTTGCGACGATGAGACGGATGGACATTCTTATGTTATAAACATGAGCCAAAAAAATAATTTTAGTAATACACATGTTTATACCCGTAATTCGTCATTGAAAAAGTAAATTGAAAGAAGTGGGTAGTTAGATTTTTTTACAATGACGTAGTACATACTATTTTGGCCTTAAACCAAATGGTGATTTTTTACTTGTGTTTCATGACCTAGACCGAATTTGCTTACCACCCACTTAATGTCGATTAAACGAAGTCTAACAATGTGTCATACCTGGCAGTAACTGCTCTTCAAAAAAAATATTTACCACTCGTCCCTTTATAGTCTTCGTATATACAAATGAATCCTAATAAAGAATAAGTACGTGCTACAAACAAGTATATATATAATTATGTATCTATCTATATTAAGATATATTATGCTATACAGAGCTGTGCGATAATAATTGCTTAATTACATCCTTGTAATTTACATGTTTACGTTAAAAATTACGTTCGCTATATTTTACTTATCTGCTGTAGATTTATTTTTAACCGCACAAGCTAACGTGCTATTTATAGCTTCGATTATTACTTTACAATGGTAGGAAACCGCAAGAGATAAAAATGTAAATAATATACTCGCTTATGTTTTTTATTTAATAATTGTTTGAAAACTTCAATATTTTTCACATAAGTAAAATTGGTTTTAGAATGCAAGAAAGGGGCATGTATTGGTTGGAATTCGACGAAGTCGCGTAGGACACGATAGCTCAGTTGGTTAGGGCACGGAACGCTGTGGATGCCGGATCAATTTGTCGTATTTTTTTTCAATCTAAAACCGATTTAAATAAAACACTTTACCGATTTAAAACGCGATATATAAGTTAAACTTATTTGAAAATGCTTTTAACTTCGGCCCGACGTTTCGGGCGATAGATTTATCGTTTTAAACCGTTCAAGTGTTTTATTTAGATGTGTACTACTCGTAAATTATAGATAGTTTCTAAAACCGATTTTTAGTTTAATTATTGTTTTATAACTTTATAACCTGCATGGCTCAAGGGTTCGCAACCTGGGATCGACACTAGGGGAAAATGATACTAACATAGTTTATGTCAGGGTGGGCACAGAAGTCTTGTCGATTATGCCTGTATATGTATACGAAGGAGTTTCCTCTCTCATACTAGTCGGTGCTTAAAATACTTATTCTCCTGCTTAAAACAAGTTTCAGCAATTTTAACAGTTTAAAACGTGAAAAGTATTAGTGCAACTTATTTACAAATAATCTTAACTACGGCCCAATGTTTCGGATGCTTTATAGTAGCCGTGGTCACGGGTCCCGGTTTTATTTAAATGCGTGCTACGCTTAAACTACATACAGTACTTAAGCACTTGTCCGACCCAGGCCAAACCCGTGGTCTTCAGTCGAGGGCAGAAACTAGACAGTAATTTACAGCCATTTACGTAAACCTCACTAAACCCACAATCTATCAAATAACGTGACAGATGATTTTTGATTAAGCGAGAACGGTTCCTGTATCGAGTCGAGTTCTAAGTGGGTTCGAAATCGACTGCCTAACGATCGATCATTAGAACTTATTTGTTTTAGACGGTGACAGGACACGAAGCTCCGCAGGTTATCGTCGCTATCTTAAGGTTGCATCAGTCCATTCGTCTTGCTGTCAGTGAGACAGGACACGACGAAATAATCAAAGCGCCGCGCGATAACGGCGATGCACTTTCGATGGTTGCTGGCACTCAGGGGTGATTTTGTTTCTTTTAAGGTGTATAACGCTTCAGCTGATGCCTAATCTGGGATAGCAATTGTGTATAAGTTTGGCAATTTTATTTTTAATGAAGCAGAACAAACGAACAAACAAGCCCCATGTTTGACTTTCTCTATTAAAAAAATAGACTACTTAAATTTACTGATCAGAAGATTAAAACCGAAATGAGATTAAATAAGACGGATTTTTCATTCATATAGACTGTGGTTTGTGACCCGGGTGGATTTTTAAACGATACTCTATAATCCTAATACTCACATTTTATCCTGATTTTCAGACGAAGTCCAATATGTTTCACAAAACGTATAAATTGTTTAGAACAATTTGAATCTAGTGCGTATCAAACTTACGACCCTTTGGTTATTTTGAGACATCGCTACTTACTACTATTACACTAACGTGCCCGTCAAGTCAAACTTTTGAATATCTACATTCATTTGGTTTTAAACTCATTATCGCCCTCCTCAAATTATATCTTGTCTCGTTTTTTGTTGGTTAATCTTTTTTATCTATTTGTTTAACTTTCACTAATCGTTCTTTGAAAAGTTTTGTTGCCAGGAAAAAGCATTTTTCAGCATAAGAGACCGTATTGTACAATATTTTAATTTGTGGATGCTTTTCCAAAAGCTCAAAAGATTGTATCCGTCTGTATACAATTTTAAATACACTTTTAACCGTTTAAACGCGAAATGTATTAGTTAAATTTATTTGCTAATACATTTCGCGACTATACAAGGAAAACTCAAATATCGCCATCGTAACGGGGTTACATGCAATAATATTAGAATCGTAGACACACTTCGCTAAGGAATGCATTATATACCACGTCAGTGAGACATTGAAAAACCACAGATTATTGTTAAGTACAGACTACTTTAACCTAACACATATTTGTGCGAGCAACTGGAATATTTGCAGACATAAAACCTTATTTACACGAACTCGTTAACTACCTCTCAACACAATTAGAGGACTCTTGAAAGACGAGTGATAAAAAGGCCCTTATTGTATAGGTCATAAGAGTCAGTATTGTTGAGTTTCGTATTGAGAAAACGCAAATCTAAGTAATTGAATAGGTACTAGATTGTTGAAGTCGAGTTTTGCATACGGAATACCGCAAACCGCGTCCATAAAATATAACGCTTGTATGTAACACCTAGTGTCTTGTTGTATAAATTCTTTACTTTATAAGGACCTTTTCTTCGAAACCAATAAAGGCGGTATTTGACTCGTACCTACCGCGTAACGTAGTTCAACGGTTAAGTAAGAGAGATCCTAGGTTCTATTATCGGGGAAAACATATAATACATTGATTCAAACATATATTCTATTTGAAAGGACGAAAGAAGTGTGCTAAATGTAGGAAAAATAGGTCTGTACGCTAAATGTAGGGAAAAAGGCACAAGACAACCACTGTCTCTACTAATATTGTAAGCGAAGAGATTGTTTGAACGTGAACCCCAACTTTTGGTTCTGATTGAAAAAAATATTAATGTGTTAGTTGGACCATTAATGGAGGAAAGTTCTATGCTTTAAAACATTAGGCTGCGATATGAGCGAAGAAAGTGAGAAATGCGAAGAAAACGGCGAAAATTGTTTTCCTGAAAATCTTTGAGGGTTTTATTTATCCTCTAAGATTAACTTAACCACCGTTTTTATGATAATCAACTTTTGGTTGAAATAA